ACACCATTAGACTTCTTTTTTAGGTTATTATTATCATATAATTATCATTGATTTTACTTTTTAAGTAATCATTACCATATAATTACTATTTGACTTACTTTTATTATTATTTATTATAACCTAATCAAAAAACCATTATTATTTAATAATTACAATTTTATTATTAACCTTATTAATATTAATAACTTTAAATTTGTTTTTTTATTAAGATAAATAACAATAATAATATTATTTTTAGAATATAATAATATAAATAATATTATAAAAAAATAAAATTCTATATAAATTTTCATCAACATAATATCATTGATAGTATAAATAATATATAAGAAAAATAAACTAGAAACAAATCTTCATCATTTTTTTTAATTTTAAATATTACATAACAAAATTCCGAGAAAAAAATAAACAACTAATCATCTATAGTCATAAAAGATCTTTCTGTAAGTCTAAGTCGCTTATAAAATTCTAGACGCGACTTATATATAGTTTATCATTCCGGCAGTTTCTAGTGTTTCCGGTAGCGTCTAGTAGAACAACTGCCGACTCACTTTCAATAAGCAGACAGTCTGACAAAGCACTTAGTTGATCTTCTTGGCCCTCATCCATGAAATCTAGAGACTCAATTACAGGTTGATTTTGTCTCTCATCCATGGCGGCAACATAAATGCTCCAATAAGGTAAGGTAAATATTTAGGACAAGTTAAGAGAAAGAGACAGAACTTACAGCGAATGCTCTGATAATGTATTTCCGGCAAGAAATGATGGCTCCGACGATAGATATTTCGGTTCCTAAAGTATTTCTGGCGATATATGAAGTTTACAATTTATCTTTTGTAATATGAACAGTAAAATTTATAGGTGTAATATAAACTTAAACTTTATAGTATTTTGTATTTTTGTTTGGAAATTTAAATTGACAGCTTTCTTGAAAATATAAACTTGAATATATGGAAAATTGGTAAATAAAAAAGAAGTCAGAGTCAAACAGTAGGTCAATAGTAATAGACCGGTGTGTAGTAGGGTTTAAGTAAAATAATACTAAAATTTGAATTTTTTTAGATGATGATGATGATAATAATAATAATAATAATAATAATAATAATAATAATAACAATAATATCAATATTAAAAGATAACAATTAATTTATTTATTTTTAACTTTAGGCTTAAGTTTAGAATGAAAAATAGTTAAAAAATAATTAGTAAAGTGGGTAAATTGTGAATATACACCGATAAAAAAAGTGAAATAAAATAATAAAAAGAGAAGATAGGTTTTATGGAGTAAACCTCAAATTCCAAAAACTCAAATATCACTCCACTTGCATTTGGTGGTCAACAATAATTCAGGCCCAATTTCAAAAAAGAAAAAACGGAAGCCATCTTTAATAAAGGAAAAAAAAGGCGGAAGATGTGTCTAGATGCCTCCAATCAAAATTAGTCAAAACTCATTGAATAATTAAAAAGCCCTATAAATAGATTGGTGTGTAACTGCCCTATAATTGTCTCGTTATCGATTCATCGCCTTCCTTATCGTGTCCTTCCTGTCTCTGTCGACCGCCCTGATTATCGATAACACATAGTAGGCATCATCTCTCTTCTCTCATCCCCGATGAACAAGTGTGGAATTATCACTTTGCATCTTTATGTTCGTTGTTTTCCATGAAATTGTTGTGATCTTGAGCATGATTTTCAATTGTTGCAGAGTTATCTATCTTCTTTCATCTAAACTGATACTATTCTGATTTGGTTGATGACTTGTTGCAGAATCCACAATATCATGTCGCTTGAAGCCATGGACATGAGTTAACTGATGTCTAGATCTTTTGCTAGCTCTGAGAAGGCCGCTTCATCAACGCCGATTTATCAAAATTGATCAACAACGATCTATCAACATTGATTTATCAAGTGTGTGTAAACATCAATTTGTCATCATTGATCTTCGCCTGGGATCAGAAAGTCAAGAATATGACCATGGAAATTCATTCAGGTATCGATTCATCATCAAGTAAAGATCTGTTTATTGAAGTCGTATATCATTGATGATTGGAATATATAGTTTGTACTTTTGATTCTAGTGTTATTATGAACTGAGGTTGGTCTGATTTCTAACTTTTTTCTGCATTCGATAGCCACAACTACTTGTTTGCTGCTACTGATTTGCTACTTATTTGTTGTTCATATATGAAAATTGTAATATAGGGAATGTGTTTGCTGATCATGTATGATATCTGATTGTGTACATTATTATGTATCATGAATTAGATGTTTGAATTTGTGTTCTTAAGGCTCATATGTGTGATGGTTTTTGTCTTTTGATCTGATTTGGGATTGTTGGCCTTGCATACAAGCTGTTTGATCAAATGCCTAAGAGGAATGTATGTAGTACTTTCATAAGATGCATGTTTTCACTGCTCAATTCCAATATACATGTTTTAACAAAATTGTTTCATGTTTTTTATAATATCAATATCTGAAACTTGCATGGTGGGCTTGAACTTAAGAGGGGTTGATTGTGCTCATGATTTTTTTTTCAAATTAAGTGACTTCTACTTCAAGTTTATGGATTCGATTGTTGTAGGAAGCTTTAAGAACACACACTGCACTGCTATTTCTTCACTATCATATGACATACACATACACGATCAACATTACAAACATGAACAACATCACTAAACTAAACGTAAGTTGGTCTAATTTTCACCAAATCATGATGTATAGGCTTGTTATAAGAAATGATGATATTTGGTTGTTATCAATACAAATTTAAGCGTTTAAGTGATCTAAAATTTTGCATCATTTTTACATTTTGCCACTACAATACAGGTCATTTTATGGCGTTTAAGGATGACAACAATTGGAACAACAATGGATCAATAACCTAATACTGCTAACAAACATGAATCTACAAATGCTGCTAAAATTCAGAATTCAGCTCCAGGGTTCAAAATATGGGGAAGAAAAAGTCCATTTATCAGATATTGTGATTTACATGTGAATCACTTTGTGATTCACATGTGAATCACTTGTGACACATGTGAATCATTTGTGATTTACATATGAATCACGTGTAATTCGCATGTAAATCATCTTAATTATTTATTTTTTCTAACCATATAGTTTATTTTAATTGCTTCTATATTGAACTTCATGAATCACTTGTGATTTACATGTGAATCACTTGTGATTCACATGTGAATCACTTGTGACACATGTGAATCATTTGTGATTTACATGTGAATCACATGTAATTCACATGTAAATCATCTTAATTATTTATTTTTTCTAACCATATAGTTTATTTTAATTTGTTTCATTTTAGCAATATATCACAAGTGAATCACATGTAATTTACAAGTAAATCACAAGTGATTCACATATGAATTACATGTGATTCATATGTAAATCACATGTAATTCACATGTAAATCAGAAGTGAATCACATATGAGTTACATGTGATTTATATGTAATTTACATATAAATCACATGTAATTCACAAGTAAATCACAAGTGATTCACATATGAAGTACATGTGGTTCACATGTAATTCATATGTGAATCACAAGTGAATCACATATGAATTACATGTGATTCACATGTAATTTGCATGTAAACCACATGTAACTCACAAGTAAATTTCATATGAATTGCATGTGATTCACATATAAATTACAAGTGAATCACATATGAATTACGTTTATATGCACACATGTATTTTTGTGAGTTTTCTTGCATTAATCAATTTTTTTTTATTTTTCTAGTAGATTTGGAAGAATTTGTGGAAAATATTGAAGATGTGAAAAATGATAAATTTAACAAAATATGAAAATCTTGACCCGAAGACATAAAAACGCTTTGAAATTTTGTAGTATTTTTTTTTTTATATTTTATTTTGTATCGAATAAAATACTTGTACTATTGTGTTTATAGATTATTATAATAAAAATTGATTTTTTTATATGATTACATACGAATATTATAGTATAAGAAAGATGCATATATGTACTTAAAAAATATGCATATATGCACCTAAAATGTTGATTTTTTTTTGTTAAAAAAATTAGAGTTTTTTTGAAATATTCTAGTTTTTTTTTTTAAATTTACCGATTATTAAAAATTTACTTTTTAAAAAAACAAATGCAGTTTTATAAAAAATGCAATTTTTTTTAAAAAAAAATGCAGTTTTTTTTTTTAAAATGCAGCTTTTTTGGTTTGATTGTGTTTTGGTTGTATTCGACCACGGACTTTGGTTATAACTTGTAATATATACTATTTGGTTGTAAAATACATGTTTTTTGAAATATTTAATTTCAATTTGGTGTTTTTTTGAAGTATTTAGTTTCTTATTTCATTTATGGAAAATGGGTTAAAACCCAAAACTCATGGGTTTAAACCTAGAACCCGTGAGTTTATGGGTTGAACCCAAAAAACCGAAAAACCATCCAAACCGACCTTAAAACCCGAGAAACCGAAACGACCAGAAATCGATTCTATTGACTTCTGAAAACCAAAAACCAACCATTTATGGGTTGTGTTGGGTTTGGGTCCAAAACCGATCCAAACCGACTCATATACAGCCCTAATACACACAATATTTACCAAACAAAAATGAGAATTAGTCTCCGGTGTAGGTTCCTATTCATCAGTGTCAAATAAAAAAATAAGATTAAAAAAGTTTAATGGATTTTATTGTATCTTTATTTTATATAAATAAAAGAAATTAATTTATTATTTTTAGTTAAAGCTAATTCGAGACTTCTACATATAGTCTTCTTTCTTGCAGTCTCTCGAAAAACATAGATACTTCTCTTCCTGGTGGAAGACTCCAGAGATCCTTTTCCCATCGCCTATATAAACCCAACAATCCTGATTCAACACAAAACTCGACAATCAAATAACGGTTGCACCATATCAAACATACTTCAATTCACTATCTGCTATTTCTCGATTCAATCAACAAAGCCCAATTCTAGAAAAGTTGAAACCACAAAAAGTGCCGATGTCGAAAATGCATACGATCACATTATTTGCTTTGACAACATTAATGGCATTGATTACAATAAGCTTACCTACAAAAATGGAGGCTCTAATCCCCTACAACAGACCTCTTTGGGACATGATGATCCCCGCCGAAGACCCATTCAAGATTCTGGAACATAACCCACTTCATCTTCCGAAAAACCTTGAAACGATCAACCTGGCACGAGCCGACTGGAAGGAGACATCCGGACATCACGAGATATCCTTGGATGTACCTGGGTTGAAGAGAGAGGACATAAAGATCGAGGTGGAAGAGAGCAGAGTCTTGAAGGTGAGCGGAGAGAGGAAGGCTGAGGAGGAAGTCGACGGTGATAAGTGGCATAGGGCGGAAAGGACGAGTGGTAAGTTCTGGAGGCAGTTCCGGTTGCCCGGGAATGTGGACATGGAGATGATAATGGCACATCTTGAAGACGGTGTGTTGAAGATCAAGGTTCCGAAGTTGGCTAACGAGAAGAAACAATCTAGGGTTATTGATATCGTGGGCCAAGAGAGCTCTGGTGGGGACATTAAGGCAACGAAGACTGCTGCGTGAATTTTATCATAATATATAATATTGGTTAACGTGTGTCTGTTTTAGTAATGTGTCTGACTGTCTGTTTTGGTTTTCCTGTTGTGTTGAAGGACGATGTAGGTAAACTGTATTAGATAATCTATTGTTAATAATAGATAATGTATTGTTAACGTAACATGTTATAAATCACCTTTGGATCAGTGGCTATCGACTTTTGCCTGACGCCTGAGGAATATTAATGATCGTAGTGAACTACCTATAATAAGGAATAATATGTCAAAACACATACCAGTGCTACCGCTAAACATGGATGACAACAAAAATTTATGCTATTATCTCCACAAGAATTATCAAGTTATGATCGTTTGTTGCCACTAGAAAAATAGAAATCATGTATCTTGATCTAGCGGGTAGATCAGACAAGTTTACAAATAAATTTATGACAAAGATGTCTTTGTTTAAAAGGTAGACATTGATATGAGTGTTCCGTATGAAAACAAAGAGTATGTTCTTGGTATTTAATTTCTGAGATCGATACAAAATGCCGCTACTCCAAATGAAATAGTTGCCAACAACAAAATATTGACAGCCTCAAAAGATGTTAGCATCATGATTGCTACCATGGCCCTAGCTTTGCAAAAATCCTATGATGACTATTGGTCAGATGAAATGAACATAGCTTTTAGTGAAATGTTTCAGAAGAAAACTAGGCAAGAATGTCATTAGATTGTCAAAGCCCTAATGGCGTGGAAACTCAGAATCATTGTGTGCTCATGTACAAAAAATATAGAGGCATGTGGAAAGATTGGAGAAGCTGAATGTGAATTGCCACAAAGAGTTGGCCATGATATGGGTTCATAACAACTTGTCAAGTTGTTATGATCAGTTCAATTTTAATATATCATTTGAACAACGTAGAAACGACATTGGTGCAACTCCATAACTTGTTGTAGACAACTGCAACAGGAATGAAGAAGTCTCATCCCTTTAGTGTTGGTAGAGCTCCTGTCATGGCCATTCATCAAGGCCAGGGAAAGAAAAGGAAAATCTATTGTCCAACCCAAGTGGAAAGGGAAAACTCACATTCGACGGTCTAATGGCGGGTCAAACGGGAAAGCTAATTATGAAGTCCCTCCTATCAGTGATCTAAAAGAGGTCGTTTTCATTCATTATGGCCAAAATGGGCATTGGAAGATAAGTTACCCAAAATACTTTCAAGATGTGAAAGAAGAAAAATCCAAAGCAACTGTTTCTACATCTGGTATGTACTCAATTGAAATCAATAATACACGTCTTTCTAATTCTTTTGTAACACCAATTTTTTTTTAACTTTTCAAAATGCTATGGTTATAAAAATCATTTTCGGGTGTTAACCCACATTTGGTCAAGAACCGGTCCCACAAAAGCATTTACAATTAAAACCGTGGGTGTTACCATTAAACATCATACAACCATAGGCAAGAAAATATGAATAACATCAATACATTAATAAGGCACCTTACTCCGAAAGACTCTAAAATTCGGTCTCAATCACAAGGTGCAAATGCTACACCGCATGGGGAAGGTTCTACATCAACCTCCACACCTGATACACCTTTTCAGGGGGAGCATTCAACTCCTCAAGTGACCTATGAAAGTTCTCTCCAGGAGAGAATCCTATTCCGCATGAAGAAGTAGAACATACATCATTCGAGGGGGAGAATGAAAATACGAATGATGATTCAGATGTGCAGTCAGAATTTGAGGATGTAAATGTTGAATTGGATCCAACCTATGATCCTAATTACCCTCTGTTGGCCAAATGGACCAGAGATCATCCAAAAACTCAAGTAACAGGAGATTTGTCTTCGGGAGTTCTTACAAGAACACAACAAAAAGCGAAGCGAACTGCATTATTCTTTAAAGTGGAATATTGCATGTTCAACTCGTTTATCTCCAAAATTGAACCTAAAAATGTTTAAATTGCTCTTGATCATTCTGATTGGGTGAAAGCAATGCAGGAGGAGCTCAATGAATTCGAACGAAACAAGGTCTGGAGACTTATTCCCACACCAAAGGATGCATCCGTTGTTGGTCTAAAATGGGTATTTCGCAACAAGCTAGACAAAGATGAAAATGTGATCCGAAACAAGGCGCGACTCGTTGTTAAGGGGTATTGCCAGGATGAAGGCATTGACTACGAAGAAACCTTCGCACTAGTTGCAAGACTGGAATCAGTTCGCATCTTCTTGGCATATGCAGCGCACAAGAACTTTGAAGTATATCAGATGGATGTCAAGTGTGCATTTCTAAACAGGGAACTAGAAGAAAGAGTGTATGTGGAAAAACCACCAAGGTTCATAAACGAAAATTATCCGAACCACTGTTACATTCTGGAAAAAGTAGTTTATGGTCTAAAACAAGCTCCAAGAGCTTGGTACGAAACTGTTACTCGCTTTTTAAAACAGGCTAAATTTAAACAAGGATCGGTCAACCCAACCTTCTTTCGCAAGAAAGATGGTGACCACTTAATGATCGTTCAAATTTACGTTGATGACAGCATCTTCGGATCAACTAACCCCAGCTTAACTGCTGAGTTCCGAAAGTTAATGGAAACTAAGTTTGAGATGAGCTCCATGGGTCCGATTAACTTTTCCTTGGTTTGAATATAAGACAGAGTCAGGAAGGTGTCTTTATCAATCAGGAGGCTTATACAAAGACCTTACTCTCTAAGTTTGGAATAGTGGGAGATTCAAAGGTGAAGGTTTCAATGGTATTCGAAATGAAACTAACATCGTCTTTGGACAAACCAGCTGCTGATATGACACTCTATCGTCAAATGATAGGTTCATTGATGTATCTAACCGCTAGTCGTCCATACATCATGTTTTTTGTTTGCTATTGTGCCAGGTTTCAAGAAATACTTGCGAACCCCACCTGAATACTGTTAAGAATATCTTCAGGTATCTCAAACGAACATCCTCACTAGGCATATGGTACCCTTCAAGTTCAGGTTTCTTTGTGCAAGCGTGTTCGGATGCTGATCCCGGAGGTTGCGGTTTGGATCGGGAAAGTATAACGGGAGGATGTCAATTTCTTGATGGCAAACTCGTAAGTTGGCAATCTAAAAACCAAACTCACGTCTCCCTTTCAACTGCTGAAGCAGAGTACATAGCCGCTTCCTCCTATACTTCACAAGTTATCTTGATTCAAAGTCAGCTTCGTGACTATGGCATCAATATGAAGCGAATCCCCTTGTATTGCGATTCTTAGAGCGCCATTCGCATTTGCTACAACCTAGTGCAACATTCAAAGACCAAACACATCGCACTGAGGTATCACTTCATCAAAGATCATGTGGAAGATGGAAATGTCGAGATACACTTTGTTAGATCCGCTGATCAGCTGGCCGTCATCTTTACGAAAGCCTTGCCTGAACAAACCTTTAATCGCATTCTTCAAGGCTTAGGAATGATAGAGGCAGAATCTGTTCCAAAACCACCTTCGCAATCATAAAGTTTTGGTTGCATTAAGAATTGGTGTGAATGCTCGCAGTGACTCGCAGTCAGCTGTTCATCCGCGAACGCTCATAGTGGCTCGCAGTGCACTGTTCATTTGAAGTTTTGGAGCTTCTTGTATACTTTTGTTTATTTCGTGTTTTTTTTATTTCTGTTGCAGAAAATTGAAAATCCAAAAATATTCTATTTCTTTCTATTTTTATTTCTCTTCTCAAAAAACCAAAAATACAAAAATATTTTCTATATTTTTTTTACTTATTTCTTTTCACAAAATATTCAAAAATACCAAAAATATGAGATAATTGAGCATGTTTGAAGGCTTCTATCTTGGTGATCTCAATTATGAATGATGGGGCAGGTATAAATTTCTAATCTATGCACTAGTTAAGTGTCCCTAGAAGCATGCTGTTGCATGTAGTCCGAAGCCTCAAAGACTCTATGTTGAAGCCTTAATGAATCGATAACACCAATTGTTTCTTCGCAATTAGGCTATTTATTCACATTAGACATGAGCTACCTTACTCTTCTCGCATTGAGTTAAGGGTTAACTGCTTGGTCACTTTCGCATAGCAGAGGTACATTATTTCTTTGGAACCACCTCCTACTACTTCTCCATCACTTTCGCATTCATAAATCTAATCCTTGAGACTCTCAAAAATTACCACTGAAGTTTATGGTTACACAAATTATGTGTTTATGATCTTAAATTTGTTATTACCATGAATTGAGTGAAACCCAAAATCCAACACATATTTATGAATTGTACGGTGAACAATTTAAATGTTCTAGCTTATTCACCAAGGAATTAACGAATGTCCACCTTCGTGGTCAGTACCATTAAATCTCTCTTTCTTTTTGTGTGATCTTAATGAGACGTTCTAGTCCTAAGACGTTTCTTCCCAATAGATCCAGTTTTTAATTTTTCTTGAGATTTCTATACTTATCCTAGTCACTTAAAATAATTCCAAAGCATACTTGTTCTTATGGCTACACTAGTCAGACAAGTACTTCATCCGAACGTTCGGACTTATGTCAAGTTTCGTAGTTTGGTTGAAGATAAATCCACCCTTTAAGCCTAATGAAAAGAAGTCTTTCACTGTTTCTCAACAAACAGATGATCGTAATTCAATGGGACACCACACAAGCACTTCAAAGTCTCTCTTGACTGCAAAGGAAGAGATCGTTGCCCGGAATCCATCTGCTTTATGTCTTAACATACATCACTAGAATCCCATAGAATAATGTTGATTTATTTCTTTATCTTTGGCACACTCTCGCATGAAGATCCTTGTGATTTTCCAAAGTCTGGTTCGTGGTACTCATGATTACTTTCAGTTTCACAGAACAGTTGATGGTCATTAATTGCAAAAGTTTGCATGTGAATCAGTGGCAAAAGGGCGTAACTGAAACGACATTTTAAAAGGAAAGGATTTGGGCGCGTGAAAATTTGAACTGACGCTGATATCACGCCGACTGACACAATTTATCTCACATCATAGCTGTCATTCATGCCTTTTTAGGCCG